AGGGTTTAGGGTTTAGGGTTGGATGAGAGACCTTCCAAAGCATCAATGTGCTTGACTGTCCAGATGGCGGCTGAACACGCCCTCGGCGCGTGTTCGCACGGGTCCCAGTGGATTCTTTCCGGTACGAAGGTCCACGTAGAGTTTGAACCGGGACGGTGTCAGCCTATCGTGTATCGGTCAAATTTGAGGAATGCGTCTTCGACAACATACGTCTTCTTGATAGTGGGTAGGTCATTATTTGGGCTCTTTGGATACTGGACGTGTGGGAGTGCCCTGCACGAGACTCTACAAGTTTGTGTGGCCATTCTTCTGCAACTTCTCGCAACCTTAAAGCCCGAAGACACCCCGACACCGTAAACTACTACAGCTTTAAACGGTACAAACCTGAAACCATGTAAAGGTCATGTATACAACCGCCTACATCCTAAAGCCTAAGCCAACCCTGAGGTCAGCAAGCTGCAGACTTGATTGCCCGCATCGCGGTTGTCATGAAGCAATGCGGCGAGGAGAGCCGGTAATAATTTGTTAAGGGATTCTTGTTAGTTTAGGGTTTAGGGTTTACGGTTTACGGTTTAGGGTTTAGGGTTTAGGGTTTAGGGTTTAGGGTTTAATTATAATAGTACTATAAAGGATCCCAAAACCCTATTCTAAGTATTAAGGCCCCTACATTATTTGAAGATTTGCAGCGGTAAGGGCAAGGAATGCTCAGAACCTGGTCTCAGGATGCATCACCCAAGTTTGCCGCTTAGGGTTGAGGGCACGGCTTCATGTCACATAGGGGCCTGAATAAAAACATATACTGCTTTTGTTATAGTTATAATATAATATAATATACCCCAAAACCCTATTCTAGTTTAATTATTAAGAAACCTACATTAGCTCCGAAGTCGCAGGAGCAGATGATGGGGTCCGGACCTTACCACTCGAGGATCTAGGGTTCCTGCATTAGGGTTGAGTGTTTCGGGTTTCGGGGTCTAGGGCGGAGGGAGGAGCTTCGATCAGTGGCTTCCAGAAGCCTGTGCAAGCAGAAGAGAGAGAGAGAGAGAGAGAGAGAGAGAGAGAGAGAGTGCGAGCTCAAAACAAACAGAGAACAAGCGAGAAGAAGACAACAGAGGGAGGGAACGAGGGACAGAGAGAGAGAGCGAGAGAGCGAGAGAGAGAGAGGGAGAGAGAAAAAGAAGAGACACAGAGAGAGAGAGAGAGAGAGAGCGAGAGATGGAGAGAGGTTTCGCAAGAAGTTGTTGCGCAGGGATGAATTTGCCCCGGCTTTCGTTTGAATTGACGGCTGAGTTAGGTCGTTCTGCCGGTAGTTCCCAAATTCGGCGTTTCTGACATGGCACAGTTGGTGATCTTTACCGGAAAAGCAGGCAGTGCCCTCGGACTAAACCCTAAACCCTAAACCCTAAACCCTAAACTAAAGGCACTTGGGGCTTTTCCTCTACGAGTACCTCGGTGAAGAGTACCCAGAAGTCCTGGGCCTCACTCTCAGCGCGGTGGATGCTTTGGCTTTGCTTAGGGTTCAGGGTTTAGGGTTCGGGGTTTAGGGTTCAGGGTTTCGGGTTTAGGGTTCAGGGTTTCGGGTTTAGGGTTCAGGGTTTCGGATTTAGGGTTTAGGGTTCGGGNNTTTAGGACCTGGTTTAGGCGTCAGGGTGTGTGGGATGCACAGGCTAAGCAAACAATCTCCCCATCCAGTTGACCACCAGGGTGACACTCCACTGTAGACAGTCAACCTAGCGTCTGGAAGAGGTCCTAATCACACGAAACCCTGAAGCCGAATCTGAGCTGTCAATCTTAGGTATCTCAGTCAAGCGACACGAACGAGCCTTGTATGGCTGCTCAAGGTGCAGCTTCGGATATAGCTCAACTTGCAAGGCATGGGGGGCTTAGGGCAATCGAACTTGCAGTTGCAGCAGCAGC